CGAATTTGTAAAGCTATGAATACTATTGATACGATAGTATAGATTATAAAAAATGGTGTATGGATAGGAGGGTACGTAGATCCATCGTTGACCATTTTTTTTTTAACTGACAAATGAAATGGTTGCTTTCGATTGTTGATTCAGGTATTTATTACCTTTCGTAAAGACGTCTGTTCAGGTAGAAAAGTACGATGTGGGCGTGGCCAGCTTTCATTTTTGATCAGCACAATTGTGGCCTTGAGCAGGCTTCCTGGACTTCAACTGTGGAGTTAGGAAATGAAAATGAAAGTTTATCCTGCGAATTTGCCAGAGTTTGAAAACCAAAGTCACTTCTGATCGTCAGACCTTAGCTCATTGTTTCGCAGTATTTGCCCATGAAATCGACAGGATGAATTAGAACCTATTTTCGAGGTGGCTGATATATTCGTGTAGGAAGGAACTCTATCCAGGCCTTTCTTATGAGTTTTCTGAAGAAATAGAGCGGGGAATCGAATGAGGTAGTGATTCAGCAGCCATAGCCCGAACCTAAAGTAAAAAATGGAAGTAGTTTGGCGTTGATGAGGTCCTGTATTTGAGTTTTTCTTGATTTTTTTCTTCTATACGTTTGTATACTTCATCAATATTTAGATAAACCCGGAAGAATTGTTTATTACCAGAATTGAGCTCTGCTTTCTTTTCTACTCAACTTTAGGATCTCTTCTGATGAACTCCAACTCGCTCCACCTTTCGCCTGTGAAAAACTAAGGCTCGAAAGGCAACGTCATCGAAAACTTAGAAGGATTGCGCCATGTACTGGATCTCTACTCAAGATCGTCAGTGGCGCTTTGGATGAGTGGTTGCTCAAGCCTAAATTCACCAAGAGACAACAATTGTACAACTGTTAGAGTTGGGGACCATTTATTCCAAGAAATGCGGGGCTTGCTTGTTCTAGCGACTATGGGATCTAGGATATGCCGCTCCATACGGTTATTTGCCTTTACTAGTTTGCGAGGCCCACGCCTTACATGACCTCACTCATCACATTGGGACCGTTTCCTTGTTTGTTCGTGAATTACCATAGTAAAACGTGGGGTAAATCTTGGGGTACTATAGAAATGTCGGGCAGCACAAAGCCTCCAAACTGCAATACCGCAAGTCTAGTCGTGTTGAAGCCGTTTTGTACGTGTTTTGCACAATACATTATAATTGACGCGAATCTTGGAGAGCTTTCGCCGTTTTTCTTGCTTTCCCTTTCCTTTAAGTGTTGTAGCAAAATGCCAACCGTAGGCATTAAGAAGGTACTTCTCGATAAGCATCTCGGAAAAGTCTATAGTAAGTTTTGATTTTTTTCAATTTTTTTATCCTCTGGCTAATTTTCTAAATGATTTAGGTGAGAAGGAATTCGACGAGCTTTGCTTTGAATATGGACTTGAACTGGATGAAGTGGTGAGTAGTATATACTCATAGCGGAATTGTTGCTAATTAGTATTGTCTAGACGTCCGAAAAGGCTGCAGTAGAGAAAGAACGAGGTGAGGCGGCTGCTGGTGATGAGCTTTGTGATTCGGAGGTATACAAAGTCGACATACCAGCGAACAGATATGACTTGTTATGCGTAGAAGGGCTGACTAGAG